GGCTACTGCTAGTGAAAACTTTCCGGATTGCGGCGCCGGGACGAGCCCGACACCTGTAGTGGAGCACCCACGGGACACACATCTCGAAGAACAGATGTTACTGCACAAGGTGAGTAACAATTTCTTCTTCAGATGACCGGAGTTTTGAGTTTAGGATGTGCAGACACAAAATAAATAGGGGGGGAAGGAAAAAAAGGGGGGGCGGGAAACAAGGAGAAGAGTGTATGGAAATATCAAAGGGAAAAACGAGTAGGCAGAATTGGCAATCTATAAACACCTGAAGATTGGATAGTTGAAAAGAAACTGTAATAGATAGGAAGGGTACTAATGCTAGAATCTACATGGACAAAGAGCTGTTTGCACTTTCTTTGAATGTTATGTTGATAATATCCCAACCATTCCTCATCATGATTGAGGCCATCAGCATGAGAATTGAATTTGTGGATGAATTGTAATTCCAACACCTCTCTGTGTATTTGACTTGTAGAATTGGTTTGTGATAAGACCACCATCTGGAGATCTTTTAAAGTGTGACTAGGTAGATTAAAGTGTTCTCCAACACGTTTTTGTATGTTCCCTTTACGTATAATTGATCTGTGTCCATTGATTCTTTCCCGTAGGGACTGTCCTGTTTGTTCAATATATATAGCAGAGGGGCATTGCTGGCATTTGATGGCATAGATCAAATTATTGGATGTGCAATTGAATGATCTTCTGACTTGGTAGCTTATATTGTTGGCTCCAGTAATTAATTCACTTGTATAGATGTGTGGCCAGAGTTGGGACCACGGCTGATTGCAAGGCTGGGTTCCTGGATGTTTATGATGTGGCTGTGTAGCATGGTTACTGGAAAGGATTCGTTTCAGGTTGGGGGGTTGTTTGTGAGCAAGAATGGGCTTTTCCCCAAAGGCCTCTGAGAGTGAGGGATCATTTTCCAAGATGGGTTACAGATTGTCTATAATGCGTTGGAGGGGTTTGAATTGTGGACTGTAGGTAATAATAAGTTCTGTTGTTCTCCCTTTTGGGTCTGTCTTGAAGAAGTTCATGTCTGGGTACTCTTTTGGCTCTGTCAATCTGTTTTTTCACTTCTCCAGGTGGGTATTTCAGTTTTAGGAATGCTCTATAAAGATCCTGTAGGTGTTTGTCTCTGTCTGTGGGATCACAGCAAATCCAGTTGTATCTTAGGGCTTGGCTGTATACAATGTTGGCATATTGTGGTGCCATGCAGGTGCCCATAGCTGTGCCGCTGACTTGGAGATACAAATTGTCTCCAAATTGGAAGTTGTTATGGGTGAGGACAAATTCACAGAGCTCTGTAATCAGGTGTACTTGTTATTACCTATAGTCCACAACTCAAACCCCTCTAATGCAGAAGATTGAGAGGGGACATGATAATAGCTTTCACGTACCTAAAAGGTTTTTATAAGGAGGAGAGAGAAATATTAACTTTCTTAACCTCTGATGATAGGACAAGAAGCAATGGGCTTAAATTGCAGCAAGGGTGGTTTAGGTTGGACGTTGGAAAAACTTACTAACTATCAGGGTGGTTAAGCACTGGAATAAATTGCCCTGGGAAATTGTAGAATCTCCATCACTGGAGATTTTTAAGAGGAGGTTAGAGAGACACCTGTCAGTTGGTCTAGAGCAGTGGTCCCCAACGCGGTGCCCATGGGTGCCGTGGCACCCACTGGGCCATTTCTGTGTGCCCGCCGAGTGATCGGGGCTGCCCCCGCCCCCGGGTGCACGGCGCATGGGCAGCGCCGCACATGAGCGGCCCCGCCATCAGGCGCGCGGCACATGGGCGCTGCTAGCTCTTGGGCACATGGCACAGGCGCCAGCCCCGGGCACGCAGCGCATGGGTGGTGGCGGCCCCGCCCCTGGGTGCACGGGACATGGGCTGTTCTGGCCCCGGGCACGCGGCATATGGGCAGCCCCAACCCTTGAGCTTGCAGCACAGTTGCAGCACCAGCCCCGGGAGGGCGGCGCATGGGTGGCGCCAGCTCCGGGCATGCAGTGTATGTGTGGCCCCACCCACGGGCGCATGTGTGGCCCTGCCCCCGGGTGCCCAGCATGTGAGCGGCCCTGCCCCTGGGCGCCCGGCAGCCCCAAAAGGTTGGGGACCACTGGTCTAGAGGATGGTGCTTTGTTTTGCCATAGGTGCAGGGGACTGGACTTGATGACCTCCTGTACCTTCCAGGTCTATGATTCCATGAGGAAAGTTGAAATCCTCTATTATTGTGGGGTTTTTTTCCTCCCCGCCTACCCCAACCTCAGGAACCACTGACCCATAGAAAAATATCAGTCACAAGTCACATACTATCCTATGCTTGTTGAGGGGAGGTTTGGTGCTTTCCCCTACAGCAGGGTGAGGCTGGGGCTCATGGCTCCAGCCCTGCGTAGGGATGCGGAGGCTTGGGGTGGGGTCAGAAATGAAGGGGCAAGAGCAGGGGATCTGGGTGCAGAAGGGGATGAGGACTCTGGATTGATGTGCAGGCTTTGGGGTGGGGTTGGGGATGATGAGTTTGGGGTTCAAGAGTGGTTTGTGGCTAGGGTCAAGGCATTTGTAATGCGGGAGTGGGCTGAGGCCCGGGACAGGGATTTGAGGTGCAGGTGCAGGCTTTGGGAGGGAGTTTGTATGTGGTAAGTAATGTTTCCTGTAATTTTTTCCATCCATTTGTTGAATACATTTTGTTATGTGCAGTGCGGGATGTGCACAACCAGTGGAATCAAAAAGGCTGTATATTTTTCAAAGTTGCCATATGGATAATTACTGCATCTGGGACAGCCTAAGCATTTTGGAACTCACAACTCAAAGAATTTAAATGTAATTGTAAGAAAATTAAAATTATGAAAAGCATGGACCTGTCAAAACACTAAAATACCACACTTTGAAAAAAGATTACAGACAATATATGTGCATTGCAGAAAGTACCAAATAGTAACAACCACTATAATGCAAGTACATGTTGGGAGGTGAATGTGAAAGAGACAGACTGTAGGGCTACGTCTACACTGGCATGATTTTCCGGAAATGCTTTTAACGGAAAAGGTTTTCCGTTAAAAGTATTTCCGGAAAAGCGCGTCTAGATTGGCAGGACGCTTTTCCGGAAAAGCACTGATGATTTTACATTAGATCGTCAGTGCTTTTCCGGAAAAACTAGTCAGCTGTCTACACTGGCCGCTTGAATTTCCGGAAAAGCACTGATGATTTTACATTAGATCGTCAGTGCTTTTCCGGAAAAACTAGTCAGCTGTCTACACTGGCCGCTTGAATTTCCGGAAAAGCACTGATGATTTTACATTAGATCGTCAGTGCTTTTCCGGAAATTCAAGCGGCCAGTGTAGACAGCTGACTAGTTTTTCCGGAAAAGCGGCTGATTTTCCGGAATAACTTGCCAGTGTAGACATAGCTCACATGTATGACAGACTAAGCATGTAAATGCTGGCTGCAGCTGGGTAAGTTTCTGAGATGTCATGTTCTGTCTCTTCAGTACACACTGAAAGCTCTTCTGCTCTGTTCCTGAGTCCTCTTGTCTCCTCTCCCCTGCTCTGTGATGATGGGGGACATGGGTAAGAAGACAAAGAGAAAGAGAGACTCTGTGTGCGCATGCAATCACACAGTGTGTGTGCTGACTAGTGCTGGGTAAGTTTCTGAGAGACTCCATGGGCTGTCTCTTTAAGATACTCACTGAAAGCTCTCTTGCCCTGTTCCTCTGCCCTTTTG